ACACACACACACACACACACACACACACACACACACACACACACACACACACACACACACACACACACACACACACACACACACACACACACAATGGAGGCCACACTGTTTCCTTGCTGGATTGATTCATCTCAACTTCTCAAGCATGCTTCATCTTCTACAATAGAGGTAAAGTTGCTGCAATGTTGGATCTTACATATCTGGGTGGAACAGGGGATGCTGTGGTGAACATTTCACAACACACACACCACAAACAAACAAACAAACAAACAAACAAACAAACAAACAAACAAACAAACAAACGAACGAACGAACAAACAAACAAACAGAACAAAAAACAAAAACCGTCCAGTTTGCCCCAATCTGGGTGCTGTAACCTCACTGCAGCTCGGAACAAACAGGTCCATGTCAGTTTTGTTTGGTTTCTAAAACCTGCCGGAATCTCAGTTTGTCCCAATTTGTAATGAACCCAGTCGGGAAGATACTCGTCAAATGTCGAAGTACAAGAAAACGCAGCGCTAAATAATGTCTCCAAATAATCGTGAATGTGATCTGTAATACAATGTCTTTTGAGTCTTGACCAATGGTCGAAGAGAGGAGATGGGGAATAGACAATTTAGAGGGTGGAAGAGATAGTATCCATCAACGACCACAGAGATGGTAGCCCAACATTTCCCTCTCCTTCTCCGGGCTTCCCCCTAGCCTCCACTTCAGCAAACAGTGTCCAATAACGAGCCTGACAGGGCCTGATCACATCGGAGTGCCACGCGGCACAGTTCTCCCCGTGAAGACGTTCAGCAGCATACAGTATCGACATCAGCAGCAGGTAAGTATCCCCTCTCTCTCTCTCTCAACCGTCCACAGATCCGAACTCCCTCCTTGTCGCGTCCAACTTAGCAATGAAGACAGTGTGGGAGATGCCATGTCAGCAATAGAGACAGGGTGGCATAAGCCACGTCAGCAATGTCAAAGACAACATGGCTTGCACCGCCACGTCAGCAGAGGCTGGGGCCAAGACAGGAAGGGGCCAGCAAGCAAGCAGCAGTCTCGCGTCGTCGTCTACAGTGCCATTGTACAGCCAGCGTCCAGCCAGCGTCAATCCAGCGTCCAGCCAGCGTCTAGCCAGCGTCAGGCCAGCATCAAGTCCGCCAAGACAGGAAGGGGCCAGCAAGCAAGCAGCAGTCTCACTTCGTCGTCCACAGTGCCAGCGTACAGCCAGCGTCAATCCAGCGTCCAGCCAGTGTCTAGCCAGCGTCAGGCCAGCGTCAAGTCCGCATAGCAAGACTGAATGTTGACGTTGACTCCCTGGAGACCGGGCCTTATGTAATGTTTGACGAGGCTGACCGGCCTCAGGTCTCCCACCCACGGTGGCTCAGATTGGCTGACAGCCGAGGGCCTGGATCGCATACAGTTGTGGACTTCCACTTGGTCCGAATGCTGTCTTGGTACGTGCATACAAACAAGTGTGTGTGTGTCTGACCGGCGGCCTGGGCTGGGCCCATGCAGACTTTTGACTCTTGGGCCGCTGGGCAGTTGAGCTAAGTCAACTGTGGGGCACACAGGCCCTGAGGCCAATTCGAGGGTTTTGTCCTCCCTTTGGTCTTGGCAGCCTGCGTGTGGCCTTAGGGGATCCAAGCTTCAGGGCATATCAAGCAGGGTATTGCAAATATTTGAATTGCGGAAGTCTGAAGAAAGACCTGTTCGGTCTGATTTCGGTGTTGAAACGTGAGGGGATCGTATTTTAGTATTTTGCCGTGCATTGTTTTGCGCAAATTTTCAACTATTGGATTTCAAGTTTGCGACTGGATAACAAATGGGTACACGTGTCCGTTTGGCTGCTGAAAGCCGACAAAAGCCCAGCGTAGAGTGGCACTGAAGGATTCTTGCAGATTGGCTAATCATGGTGTGATGAGAATGAGCACAACAATGCCAAGGGGACCCAGCCATGGGACCCAGCACAACAGTGCCGAGGGGACCCAGCCATGGGACCCAGCCCACAGCCATGGGACTTCAGCAGAATCAGCACTGCCATGCAACTCCATCCATGGGAAAAAATCCATCCATGGGACTCTAGCCATGGGACCCAGCCCACAGCCATGGGACTTCAGCACTGCCAAATGAAAAGAGACAGCAGCGAAGTCCTTCAGAACATATGTAGATACACCCCTTTCACCCCCTTTCACCCCCATTAAACCTCATAAAACCCCTTAAGCCCCTTTAAAACCCCTTTAAAACCCCTTTAAAACCCCTCTATAGTTTGAACCCCGTTAAAGTCTAAACCCCTTTAGAACCCAGAACTCTTCTTCCTCCCTCCTCTAGACCCCTCTGGAAATGCTGTTCATCACCCTGAAGCTTGTCCTCAGCAGCCTCATGCTGTACTGAGATGTCCCTGTAGACAGAGCAGGAGGCGACGCAACTGCTGGGTGAATCTCTGGCCGCTACTCGTCCCAACTTATATACTACCGTCTTCACCTGAATAGAACGCCCGGTCGTTCTAGCTGCATTTGGCACAACTTTCCGTCCAGATGCAGCGATAATGAACGGGCGTTTTATTCGGTTGAAGACAGTAGTTAGCAGGAGGCGTGACTGCTGGGTGAATCTCTGGCCGCTACTTGTCCCAACTTATATACTACTTGCCCCGGACTTTACCCTGCCTCACCTGGGCGCTGCTTGGGCCCAACTGCTGTCCTTTCCAAGCTACCGATTCCCACTCTTCGTGGGAACAGTATTTGAACTACTTGCGGATGTAAGCCACCCCTGCACCTACGTACCTGGACTGGTATCGGCCCAAATGCAGTCCGGTACCGTCATTGCACCTCTGGAAAGTCCCTACTTTGTCGCTCCCAACTTTCATGCCTACCCCTGGCCGTCCTTCAGCAGACAACTGCACTTATCTCCTGTGATTCAGAAACATAGCGAGAGCACAGAGTTCGCAAATGGGCACGGGATCGTACTCGATATCCATCCGTTAAACAGACACATGCACACAGATAGACTGGTTCAGACTCACAAATCTCTTCAAATCAGATCTTAATGACAGTGAGTTTCTTACGACTGTACTTGACCACACACACACAAAAAAAAAAAAGAAGAAGAAAGAAGCAGACTGTGAGTTTCTCAGAAAAATGCAGAGTCCACAGACTGCAACCTTGCAGGTCATTTTGCATTTCAAGTACTCAGATTATGTGTTTGTTAGCAGTGAAAAACCTTTCTCCAAAGCGCGGAAGTTGTGCCCACGTGTCCGCTGCTTGTCTCCTACCCTCCTCACCGGAATGGAACGCCTGGGCGTTATCCATGTCTAAAGGCTGAAGGTTGCCCCAAATATCGCTACAATGACTGGGTGTTCTATTCGGTGAAGACGGTAGGGCGTTCTATTCGGTGAAGACGGTAGCGGCAATGGGCTGAAGGTTACTAATGTTCGAAACACACACACACACACACACACACACACACACACACACACACACACAGAGAGAGAGAGAGAGAGAGAGAGAGAGAGAGAGAGAGAGAGAGAGAGAGAGAGAGAGAGAGAGAGAGACAAAAAGAGAGAAAAAGAGAGAGAGAGAGAGAGAGAGAGAGAGAGAGAGAGAGAGAGAGAGAGAGAGAGAGAGAGAGAGAGAGAGAAACCTGCATTTCGTTCTTTCCTTCTCTGGCAGACGCAAAGGATGAGCAGAAAACAGAGGAAAGAGAAAGACAGGTTGGGAGGGGGGGAAAAAGTTGTCATGAGAGGAAGAACAGCACAGAAAAAGATGTCCGGGGGGGGGGGGGTGTATGGCTGGACCCTGAAGCTGTTGCTCAAGGTTTCTGCCCAATGTGGCTGCGCTGCGATGTCACCCCAACTATTATGCCTTTGCCTGGACCTGCTTGTTACAGTGCTCTCCTTGCCTCACTTTTTTTTTTTTTTTTTTTTTTTTTTTTTGCCCAATTTGGACTATTTCTCGTTTTATGGGTGTCGTCCTTGCACAAGGGCCATGCTAATCTTCAGCCTCTGTATCGTCCCAATTTTAACGGATGGCCCGGAGGACTCCTGCTTGCCTCCCGTATAGCTTCCTCCCGTGGTAAATTCACCTTTGGTAAATTCACCTTCGGTAAATTCACCTTCGGTAAATTCACCTTCGGTAAATTCACCTCTGGTTATAGGTATGGTTGTCCAAGCACCCTGCCTATCGCCCCTTGAGTCATGTTCATCAGTGGTGACTGTTGCGTACTCGTGAAACACAGTCATAAGTATGGCGCAGATTCCCAGAACCGACC